GTCCAAAATTAAACTTTGTTTGATTTTAACAAAAATTGAATATATGGGGCTCTTTGATATGCTGAATCTAACCATGTATTTTGATTTTGCACATTGGAACATAATAGGTAAATTAAAAAAAATCAAGTTCTTAGACCACATTCTTTCTGTGTCAGAAACCTATGCTGTGTCAAATATTTAATCACAATCCAAATTCAAAGTTGTATCAAGCTTGAATGTTGTTTCCATACTTGCCCCAACTGTTCAGGGTTCGACCTCTGCGGTCGTATCAAGCTGCGCCCAGCGAAGCATTTTATTACTACGTACGATAATAAGTAAATACCCGAGTGTATCGAAAGAATCCGGTATGATTGACTGAAATGCGAGAACAAGTTGATATTTTGACCAAACCGTCGGATAATTGACAAGTGATCATGGTTTGATTGAACAATACACAGGTGATAGAATAAAAAATACTCGATAAGTATATGGCTGATGTGTCACGCCAAGGATGAGTAAAGGTGAATACCGGCTTTGATAGAAAAGTGCATTGTTTTTGTCAAAACATCGATCGGAAGGTTTCGATGCCAAAAATCATTTGAAAACTTTTAATTCCGTTATTTAAATACTAGCTGTTTCACATTCCAATGTGGATATAAGGACCTTCACTCGTTCAGCATACTCAAGTGGATCAAACTGACAGCAGAAAAACATTGACTCAACGACAATTCGTATCAACTATCATAGCCTCCTCATCAGTGTTACGATTAACAACTACATTTGTACACAAATTGTTACAAGGACAAGGCTTGTATGAAAAGCAACAGAGTCAGCATCTACTTCTTAGAATATTATAGCTCAGTGTATCAAGACAAGTGTTGTAGAAATTATTAACATGATTAAATAACATTCGTCCATGTACTAGCAAAATGACTTTCTTAGTGCTTAACAATGCAGTGGCGGATCCAGAACTTTTTATCCTTACACTTTATTCCTGGGGCAGTATGATTCTTTAAGATTGACCTATAATTAACAATGTGTCATCCAAACACAGAGGCAATGATAACTAGTATATCAAATGAATGGCTTAAAACCAAAAATCTCAAATGTTATTGCCTAAATGCCAAATTTCACAGCAGCAACTAAAATGTGTTACAGGGTTATAAGCACCTCTATGAATCTAGTGTATATAAACTTTTTATTCCTGTGGTCATAATGCTATTAATATGCCCCCACCGTATTGAGTTTTATCCTTGTTCTTCTGTAAGTATGTACGTCCCTTACTTGTACGTACGTCCGTTAATCACAAAATTGGTTTCTGTTCTCTTACTTGAGTTTTCCTGAACCAAATTGTATGAAACTTATACGCAATGCTTAATACCACAAAACACAAGTCAAGTTTGAAGGTTTGGTGGCGTCACTTTTACCATCCTAGAGTTATATGCTCCTTTACAAATAGAAAAGTTGCTGGAATTTTTAGTTTCTGTTCTCTAACTTTAGTTTGTCTTAATTAAATGTTATGAAACTTACACACAATGCTCATTACCACAAAACACTGATCAAATTTGAATTTTGGTGGCGTCAGTTATACCGTTCTAGAGTTATGTCCCTTTACAAATGTAAAAATTGCTGAATTTTTTCGTTTCCGTTATCTAACTTTCGTTCGCTAAACCAAATGTTATGAAACTTATACACAATACTTTTAACCATAAAACCAAGATCAAGTTTGAATTTAGGTGGAGTCACTTTTAGATCACCTGGCTTTTCTCATCATTTGGCGTCCGTCGTCTGTTAACTTTTACAAAAATCTTCTCCTCTGAAACTACTAAGCCAAATTTAACCAAATTTGGCCACAATCATCACTAGGATATTTAGTTTTACAAATTTGTCCGATGACCCGGTCCGCCAACCAAGATGGCCGAAATGGCTAAAAATATAACATAGCAGTAAAATGCAGTTTTTATACGCCCGTTTACGGGACGTATTATGGTATACCTCTGTCCGTCTGTCCGTCCGTCTGTCCGTCCGTCGTCAACATGTCGGACATTAACTCAAAAACGCTTTAACCAATTTGCATAAAACTTTGGTGAATTGTTTATATCTATTGACGTGAGCTCCCTTTCGTTTTTTATAAATTTTAGATTTTACGTTTCCAAATTATGGGGTTTTATTCATTAAAAAAAGGGGGGATTTTCCCGTTTTCGGACAATAACTCAAAAATGCTTTCAGCAATTCTCATGAAACTTTTATGAATTGTTGATATCTATTGATGTAAGCTCCCTTTAGAATTTTATAAATTTTAAATTTTACATTTCCGAGTTATGGGGTTTTATTCATTAATAAAAAAGGGGGGATTTTCCAGTTTTCAGACAATAACTCAAAAATGCTTTCAGCAATTCTTATGAAACTTTGGTGAATTGTTTATATCTATTGATGTAAGCTCCCTTTAGAATTTTATAAATTTTATTTGTTTATAGTCTGACAACAGATTTACTAAGTATTGCGCAACAGCATAGTGTATTGCACAACAGCAAGAAATCTTTAATTGAATATAAATTCAATTCATATAACCAATTTCAAGTTCTTTGACTACATTTATTCAGAAACCTATAATATGTCAAATATTTAATTACAATCCAAATTCAGACCTGTATCAAGCTTGAATATTGTGTCCATTTTTGCCTCAACTGTTCAGGGTTGGACCTCTGCGGGCGTATCCAGCTGCGCTCAGCGAAGCAGTTTTTTGGCTTATATCTCTGAAACCAAAGCATTTATAGCAAATCTGACAAGGGGGTTAAATTGTTTATCAGGTCAATTTCTATCTGCCCTGAAATTTTCAGACGATACGGACAACCCGTTGGTGGGTTGCTACCCCTGAATTGGTTATTTTAAGGAAATTTTGCAGTTTTTGGTATCTTGAATATTATTATAGATAGAGATAAACTGTAAATAGCAATAATGTTCAGCAAAGTAAGATCTACAAATAAGTCAGCAAGAACAAAATTGTCAGTTGACCCCTTAAGGAGTTATTGTCCTTTATAGTCAATTTTTTTACAATTTTTCGTAAAATTTGTAATCTTTTACAAAATCTTCTCCTCTGAAACTGCTGAGACAAATTGATCAAAACTTGGCCACAATGATCATTAGGGTATATAATTTCAAAAACGTGTCCGATGACCCCGCCCACAAACCAAGATGGCCGACATGGCTAAAAATAGTACATAGGGATAAAATGCAGTTTTGGCTTATATCTCTGAAACCAAAGCATTTAGAGCAATCTGAAATGGCGTAAATATGTTAATCAGGTTAAGATCTATCTGCACTGAAATTTTCAGAGGAATCAGACAACCCGTTGTTGGGTTGCTGCCCCTGAATTGGTAATTTTAAGGACATTTTGCCGTTTTTGGTTATTATCTTGAATATTATTCTAGATAGAGATAAACTGTTAACAGCAATAATGTACAGCAAAGTAAGATCTACAAAAAGGTCTGCATGACCAAAATGGTCAATTGACCCCTTAAGGAGTTATTGCCCTTTATAGTCAATTTTAACAATTTTCATAAATTTTGTCAATTTTTGTAAATTTTTACAAAATATTTTCCTTTCATTATAGATAGAGATAATTGTAAGCAGCAAGAATGTTTAGTGAAGTAAGATCTACAAACACATCACCACCACCAAAACACAAATTTTTCATGAATCCATGTGTGTCCTTTGTTTAATATGCACATAGACCAAGGTGAGCGACACAGGCTTTTTAGATCATCTAGTTACTGCTCTAGGGTTGTGCCCCGTTACAAATGGAAAAATTGCTGATTTTTTCGATTCCGTTCTTTAACTTAAGTTTGCCTCAACTTAATGTGAAGAATGTATACACAATGCTTATTACCCCAAAACTCAGATCAAGTACAAATTTTGGTAGCGTCACATTTACAGTTCTTGAGTTGTGACCCTTAATAACGGTAATGCTAGCGGGGGCATCATTTGTGTCATGGACACATTCTCTATTTATTGATCACAGCCTTCAATATAAATTCACTTTCATAACAGTTGTATTGATTTAAGTTAACTGTTTTATTTTTTAAAAAAATGTGGTATTTTTTGCAAATGAACCACAATCAAAAAGAGTTTAAAGGAGGAAGATATATTAACAACTATAGGCCACCATACGGTCGTCAACAACTAGAAAAACTTGTACCATATAGTAAGCTATAAAGGGTCCTGATATGAAACATGTGGAATTATTCAAACAAGAAAACTTACGGGTTAATCAGTAACAAAACATTTTACTAAAAACAAATATGAAGGACCTAAACCAATAGAAAAATATTAAATTCACAGGCCCTTGACATGGCATGGGCACATAAAGAAGTTAACAGAGTTTTCTGTATATTTGATTATTTTAGATCTACAGTTTAAGGTTGCAATAGAAAATATCAAAATTTTCTATGACAAACATATGAAAAAAAGTGATTTTTGATAATTGCTGACGAGACAAAGGTTAAGTTAAAACATTAAAGATCATTAAAGCTGTGATTAAATACATATTTGAAATAATACACGTCTATAACCTATTTGAAATAATACATATCTATAACCTATTTGAAATAATACACATCTACAGTTGCAAACTTTCCAGAGGTGCTATCCAGCACTTTGATTACACCACATTAGCAGATTCCCGTCTTGAACGTGCATAACATAAGTCTGACCTTATTAACCAAAAAGAACTTAAGATGAACGAAAATGGCGAGGACTAATGTGCTCCTTCAGTCAGAGGTAAACAAGCATACATGGATTATTGAGCATTTATTAGTAACCATATTTCTTTTTTCCCCAGAAAAACAATAGTATTGATATTCTAATAGTTAGAATATAACTACTTTATTTCTACGTTTCTTAAAACAAGTAAATGATAATTCCAGTACTGTGCATGGAAACCAGATGAGAGGTAGAGGCACTTTTAGGCCTGGTAAACAAAAATATAATATACCAACCGTTCATAAATCAAACTATTGTAGGTGCATTATTAAAAGAGCCAGATGATGATGTACCAGTTTCAAAAATTGAATTGCATACAACAACAGCTGCTGACACGGACAGAATCTCAATACAACTTGCTGAAAAGACAACAAAATCTGTTGGTCTGATTATGGGGTACCTTACCTATGGTACCGGATTCCGAGTTGGAGAGAAATATGTAATGACCTCGCTACATTTTGTGAAAGACATATGCAGTAAGTTCATTTATTGTGTACACTATAAGACATACTGATACGCAATAGTGTAGTTTTAATAACACAGTTATTGATATAATCAAGACCAAATGGGGAAGTTAATAAAAAAAGACGTGGTATGATTGCAAATGAGACGATTCTCGACCAGAGATCAAATGCCATATAAAGTTTTACATATGAATCTATGATGGACAGTGGCGGATCCAGAAATTTTCATAAGTGGGGGCCCACTGACTGCCTAAGAGGGGGCCCGCTCCAGTATTGTTTCAGTGATTCCCTTAATAATCAACCTAATTTTCCTCACAAAATGGGGGGCCCGGGTCCCCTGGGCCCTCCTAAATCTACCTCTGATGGAAACACGGTCTTCGAATCCTTACAGCCCATACATTAACAATTTAACTTACTGGGGCCGGTTGTTCAACTTGTCGTTTTTAAAAAGTGTCGTTAAATACCCTAACGTGTCGTTACTTAACGCATGGTTAAAATGGTGTTGTTCAACTTGGTTCAACTTGGTTTAACCGCCATCAACCACCATCGTTAATTTTAACACCTCGTTAAATATTTAACCAAGGTTTAGGAATTATTTTTGTTACCCATAATGCATTCAAAAAAAGAATTCTCTAACACATGCGTGCATTAGGCCTACAGGCCAAAAAGTTTATCTTGAAGAATTGAAACAGTAAACAGATAGTCCCACTATAATGAGGCTCTTTTATTGTAACGATACATGAAGGTACAAACAAATACAAGGTAGCTGACAGATCACATTGATCAAATTGAGTGATATATTTATCTTGTTGAATAATTTTGTAAAGTCGGTACAATTTAGCTTTAATATATGTCATTTATGGAAACATTGGAACCAATGTTTTCTTCAGCACCACAATATCCGTAATTGTCACATCGTGTACATAACCTAAAATATCGTTCAAAATACTTCCCATGTCTACATATTTATACGCACAAAAAAATGAACCGTGTGGAAAAATTAGGTATTTTTTTAGAGCATTTTGATACACAGGTTTGTATGACGATGCATTTGCTTGCTTGTTTGGTCATTGTTATAAAGTACACATATAACTATTGATATATCATATATGTCATGATCAAGAAACAATAGACTCTTTTCATATTACCGACTTTTGACTCCGGATTATATAATTTTTCGACCGGTTACCTTATCTATGGGGGTTGGACATCATGGTACTCTGTCAAGTAAGAGCAACCAAAAGAAGTAAAATCAAAAATATAATCTGCAATTTGGGGGTAAAGTTTACTGTTTTCCGATTATTTTTTTCGTGTATAGAAAACATAAAACAATTTCCCCCTAAAATTGTACCGATTGAAAGCTTGATTTTACTTCTTTACTTGCTCTTGCTTGACGAAGTACTCGGATGTCCAACCATAGATTAGATAACCTGTCGAAAAATTATATAATCAGGAATCAAAAGTCGGTAATATGAAATTATTCTATTAAAGACCGATGGAGTTTTAGATTGAAACTTCTCCTCGTTCATACCAATCTTATGGACCAAATATCAAACTTTTGACTTATGTAATCTAGTGTAACAAAAACTAAATAGATTGAGTTTAAATAAACAGATGCATAGATACATAGATAAAATGTTATAGGTAAATAAGTAGAAAGACGAATTTAGTGACATAATGATATTTGTCACACATAGAGCAGTTTTCAAAATCAGTTGATATCAAACTACAAAAAAATTGTGAACTACCATGCATATAGTATGATTGAACTTATCGTTTATTACAAATACATAATTAGTAGGTACAAAACTTTTCCATATTTTCTAGGTTTTGGTGGAATATTCAAAGAATCAAATCTTGAAAGCCAAGATGTTTATATATGCTTTGACTATGCAGATAAATTCAAGGAAGATAGTCTTATTTTCCATTTTCGTGGACAAATGCAATACGCAAATGAAGAACTTGATGTTGCAATATTGGAACTTACAGAGAGGGATAATAAATCCTTACCTCCTAAGATACCGTGTAGCGTAGACTCTAATTATGATTCTTTATTTAGTGTACTTGGACAATCGTATAGCATCCCAAACCAGGTCACCGATTTTAACATAAAAATATTGCAGAAAGACATGAATGTTATCAACAAGGCTCGAGCTTGGAGCTTAGATATGTTTTATGAAAATGGATATATTGGTTTAGATGACCCTAATGTTGAATTATGCTACTGTAAGTATCAGTTCGGTATGGATGGTTCTCCCGGTATTGTTCCTATCTTACAGGAAAAACGGTTGTCACCCGAGAATAGTAAAAGGCAAATTAATTTACAAATAGCTCAAAATGAATGTTTACAACAGATTCGTCGTGATCATGAATCTCAAAGGCACCAAGTTTCACCTTCATTCAATGAAACGCCATATGACAAATATGAATACCCTTCTGATTCAGTCTTAAATGTCAATACACAAAATAACGAATCAGACTCTGACAATGAAATAACATACGTAAAAATGGTCGCCCATCGAAATAATGCGGCAGTTTATAAATCCAATTTGGATAGGCTTTCCATAAATATCAATCATACTGAAAAGTGCAAATCTGATGATGATCAGAGAGGTTGTAGCATCAATAAAAACATAACTTACCAAAACATGCCCCTGAGTGATGAATCTAATAGATACACATCAAAAGACATTTCAACCGATTTAAATCAGTTAAAAGAAGTTTCGGTTGATACATCACCGAATTTGAATGGTTTCAATCTATTTTTAACAGAGCAAGAAAATGTTACGGATAATTGTAAAAATAAGGACCAGGTCAGTGAAGTTAATTCACTCCTACCCCCCGGAGAAGAACCCAATGTGAATAAAGAATATTTGTTAGTATTATCAGTTGATGATGCACACGCTGACCATGGATTGAATGACGTAAATGAAAGCCCTGTAAATGAGCAGTCAGTTCATAGAAATATACGACAAGGTAACAATGATAACCATTACAAATCAGCTGATACTGAAAGCATTACAACGAATAATGACAACGCAGCAACTGAAAGTGCATGTAAAAACTTGAACCTTCCCGACTGTTTACGGAAGGATTTTAATGATGATGATGATGATGATGATGATGATGATGATGATGATAACATGCGTAAAAATGTTGCAAGATGTAGTGGCAATGAAATATATCTGTGTTCTGAAAAAGATTCATCGGAGATAATGGTTAGGGACGAGAAAACTGTTGAAATGGACAGAAAACTGCAAAATGATATGCTTCAGGAATCGTCTATTCAACAAATAGTAGTTGAAGACGACAACACATTCAAACTGAATGGGACTAACCATCAAGAAAGCCATGTTGATAATGAATATGAATCATCAGAGTTATCATTGGATGGTAATCAAATTATGTTGATTGAAACTAAACACGCTGAAGAATCAGAAGAAATACGCTTCAAATGTCATCGAACATCTCTTGATGAAGAAACATCGGATTCAGAAAAATCTGTTTCAAACACAGCTGTATATGAACCAGTTGTTGTGTTCATGGTATTGAGAGGGTATCCTACTTTTTATTACAAGGATAAAAGGTCAGTTGAAATGGAGGAACTAGTCACAAGTGATAAACTAGTAAACGCTGGTGTTACCATGAAATCTGTTTATGATCATATGAAACAATACCATATTTACAGAGAACTCTGTGCCGATATATTTGTGTCGAAAAAATTGCGAATTGGGCTTGAAAATACACGTGTTGTTTACAACTAAATATATAGCATTACTGCTTTTTTGTATACAGTTATATGAATCCTCCAGTGATGAATAACTAGTGAAAAGAGTAAGCTGTTTTAGAATTTGCCGGAAACCTACTTCCTTTGTTCCGATACTTTGAATTTCGATTGGGGGTATGCTTAGCACATCAAGGCATACATTCTTATTATTTCGGTTTTCAAGATTATAGCCAGGTACGCTACGTATAGGCCAGGTGAACTTAAAAGTATAATTCTGATTTCTATGTGTATGGCAAGCGTTTATGGAAAAGCCAGGAGACAAAAAATACGAAATGCGAGAAACTAACAATGCAACACTATTATCATTACGTTTACCATCTTATACAGAGTAATATAAAAATAAGGAGGTGTGAAACCAATTTCTATTTATACTAAAGGATAAAGATGTGAGCAATTGCATGTCACTGTACGACCTTCAACGATGAGCAAATCCCTTCTTGTAGTAAACTGGTAAAGTATCCTGGGTTACAAAATGGGAAACAATATAGAAGAGAAATCAGACGCTCTGGTTTCGACTTCACCAATAAACGAAACAAAAATATGGTAGACAGCAACATACGACTTCCATTTGATAACAGGATTGTCTTAGGAATTCGCACTTAAAGAACGTGGCGGGGTAAAAAATATTTGTAAGCGCTCTACCCCCTCTAACCTTGGAAAGTGGTGTAACAATACAACATATGAACAAACTGTAACAATCAGTTGGAAAGGGCTTGACTCGTCAGGTTCGTAGTTAGCACAAAAACAAATAACAAAAGACGAAAGGCTTAACATAACGATCTATGAGTACTCGCATCTACTGAAAGCTAGAACAAAGCCTGATCTATAATAAACCATGTTCTCCAAGAATAAAATATAATAAATTAGTATGAATTAAGTGTAAATACGTCATAATCGGTTTAAGAAAAGCATGCCATTGTGCAATGCAATGCCAAATTGTGAGAATTGACAGGGTGTTGGACTTCAAGTGATAATAACTTTTTTAAGACCAATAAGTTTATATGAATCGTAACCAATATTTACGAGCTCAACAAACACCGTTAAGAAGTTAAAAAATAAAACAACAAGCGGAAAATAACAAAGGGACATTCAAAACTCATAAGTTGAAGGGGAACTGACAACGACATGTCAAAACAACTAAAGACGACGAAAAGACAAACAAGATAGATAAAGTAAAATTGAGCAACACGAACTTCACCAAAAACGGAGGTTGTCTTAGATGCTCCTTTAGCAGTACCCGTCATATTGCTCATGGTAAGTACACATTCGATGTCACAATCGAGGAAAAGGGGACGGGATTTTGGTAGCGACAATGGACATATCCGTGGTCATCTGTGACACAGATATTTCATAACGACGAACCATATTGTGATGGAGTCCGTAAACTTTTCAAAGGGGTGACTTTATATCACTTGGAAACCTTTGTTCCATAGCCTCCTTGAAAGACGCAACTTTCGTTGAAGGAAATCATGATAGGAAACGTACGCTCTGGAATCTCGTATCAAAAGGGAGATGTCTACTCCATATGCAGGCGATGCTGGAATGTTGCTACATAGAAATGGATGGTTACAATTGGGTAGCTGAAATCACCCCTGTTGTCGTAAAGTTTTGTTCTCAAACAAACGTCATTGTAAATTTTAGATATGAGGCACACTTAACTGTATATATGGTATCCTTTATTTCAAATTCGATGGAATAGATGCGTTCAAAATAGCCATCAAACTTTGAATTATTCATTGAAAGGACATCACCCCTTTTGTAATATATATTCATTTTAAATTTCTAGATGTAAGTCAAGATATGTAGCAGACTTGAGCCAGTATCATGAAAACCTATAATCTTAAGTTTCAATAACGAACGCTTTACGAGAACGTTACGATGGTGCTATAATTAAGAGCGTATCGCCAACCCCCTTGTGGGTTACTTTTAACAATATTATGGCTATCTTTGTATACACTTACGACTATGAGTTAAGATATAGCACTCTTATCGACTTTTCCGAAGTAACCGCCTTTGATTTTTAAGAGAATATTAAAATCCGCGGCAAAATCGATAGTAAAAGTTTTCTGTGCGTTTAATAGAACGTTTGAAAAACATACATTCAGAATTGATACCAACATATGAATCAATGTTTAGAAAAGTAATCAAATATATTTCTGAGATTTAAATATTTATTGCAACATAAGCCAATGGAGTGAATTATGTCTCCCGAGTGTAGCTTTATAATTTGATAATACATAAAAATATAACAGTAAATCCCAATATGTTGAACATTATAATATACAAAAGAAAGTTTTCAACAAAAACCGCTCTAACGAATCCCATAGTGAGAGGAGAAACCACATTGATTTTCGAATTCAAGGGCATTGACGATAATTATCATGCCGGTACAACTATTGCCATGCAAGGATTGTTCAGATGTTTAAATATAAAAAAGAAGATAAGTTCAATTTCAAATCATCATGAAATTGTCAGTATATAAGCATCGAAGCCTGTAATTCAGTGGTAGTCGTTTGTTGTTGTAGTTTATATTTGTTTTTCATTTATTGCATTTGTATATAAATCAGGCCGTTGGTTGTATCGTTTGAATTGTTACACTGGTCATTTTGGGGCAAGTTATAGCTTGCTTTGCAGTTTGAGCCAAGGCTCTGCATTAAAGGCTGTACTGTAACCTTTTTATATATAGTTGCTTATTTGGTCTTGGACGGAGAGTTGTTTCATTGGTAATCATACCGCATGGTATTTGTGGTTGGTAGATTTGTTCAAAATGTTGTAAATTTGTAGTTTGGTTGACAACTAAATAATAATATAAATGGGGACCTTTTTACATCAGCGACCAAAGACTTGAAAATTGGCCTTTGCTGCTTCTCTGCTAAGCACATAACATTAAGGAGTTAGAGCAAAAGCTTGTGGCCCCACAGTAAGAATAATGTGTCCGGGTAGGGTGATATTTCTTCCTGCTAACTGTTAACTTGTGAGCTAGTCCGGCTCAGCGTGTCTGTCTAGCAGGGTCTCATTTTTAATTATCATATTCTTGTCCTGAATATACATCTGACCATTCCACTGGACTTTAAAAACCATTCATCCATCTTTTACATCAGAGACCTAACTTTGAATGTTGAGTCGTTTATGTTTAAACTATAATAAACACTTTTATCTTTCGCAAAATTATCTGTGGATATCATATTGACACCTATTGCACTAAATATTTAATTTTGTAAATAAACAACTAGTTTACATGTCTACAAACACATTTTCGATGAGATAGTTTCTCTGAATACGCCCATCTGCACTGTCAACGTATAATTCCTCATCCATTTTGAGTTCATTGTCACAGTCTTCAGTGTCCAAATGAGAATCTTCTAATGGAATTCTTCTTTCTACACAACGGTCATGGAGAACAACAGTTGAAAGTATGATATTGATATTTTAGTCTGTTGTAAAAGTCATTTTTATGCCCCCGTCGTAGCGGTGGGGCATTAAGTTTTTTCCTTGTCCGTCTGTACGTACGTCCCAAAATTGGTTTCCGTTCTTTTACTTGAGTTTGCCTCAAACAAATGTTATGAAACTTATACACAATGCTTATTACCACAACACAGATCAAGTTTGAATTGTGGTGGCGTCACTTTAACCGTTCTAGAGTTATGTCCCTTTATAAATGGAAAAATTGCAAAAGGAGTAGGCTCGGTAAGACCCCTTTTCGGCCCCAAAATATAGCAGTTTTAAAAAATTATTAAAATGTAAACTTTTAGCTATTTATTTGAAAGTAGAATACTTCTGTTACATAAAGATGGGCTGTTTTTGACAATAGAATGCACATGTATCGGGTACAAGCATCATTAAGTCATACTTAATTACTGAAACTTCACAATTTTAGCATTTGAGTTAATTTTTAGACGGTTTCCGTCTGAAATGGAAGTGGCCGCATTTGTGTTCATTCTTAATATGTAGATGTGAGCTGTATTTAGTGATAATACATAACATATATAAAGGTTGAGACTGAACACGGATGCCTGCCACTTTCATTTTTGACAAAAACCATCTGAAAAGTGACATTATGGCATATTTGATAAATTTTTCATATTTAAGCTTGAATTTGGGTGTCTTTAATTACTAAATCAGTTCAAATCTTGCACATACACTAATTGAATCGACTAAAGTAGACACGCAAGTGTTTAAAAAGTGTTTAAAATCTTTCATCAGATGAAACTGAATTTTGAGGCCAAAATCGGCCCCTACCGGACCTACTCCTTTTTAGTTTCAGTTCTCTAACTTAAGTTTTCCTCAACCAAATGTTATGAAACTTATACACAATGCTAATTACCACAAAACACAGATCAAGTTTGAATTTTGGTGGCGTCACTTTAACTGTTCCAGAGTTATGCCCCTTTATAAATGGAAAAATTGCAATTTTTTTATTTTCTTCTTAAAATCAAGTAATTTTTTTACGACCGAAAAAAATTTTTGCGGTCGTATATTGGTATGACGTTGGCGTCGTCGTCTTCGTCGTCCGAAGACACATTGGTTTTCGCACAATAACTTTAGTTAAAGTGAATGGATCTCTATGAAATTTTACCATAAGATTCAATACCACAAAAGGAAGGTTGGGATTGATTTTTGGGGTTATGGTACCAACAGTTAAGGAATAAGGTGCCAAAAATAAGCATTTTTCTAGTTTCCAGACAATAACTTATAGAACGGTGTATGGATCTCTCTGAAATTATACCACAAGTTTCCATACCACAAAGGGATGGTTAGGATTTGCTTGGGGGGGGGGGGGGTTATGGCTCAAACCGTTTAGGAATTAGGGGGAAAACAAGGGTGTCCTGGTTAATGGACAAATACTTCAGTACAAAACATAATTTAAAGCAGTGTAAGGGAGGCAATTCAAATACATCATTTGAATTACCTCCCTTACACTGCTTTTAAATTATGTATAAAGTAATGGTTAATGGACAATTAAGACAATTTAAAAGCAGTGTAAGGGAGATAATCCAAATACAACGCTTTGATTACCTCCCTTACACTGCTTTCAAATTATGTTTAAAGAAATGCATATTTATAAAGGAAGACCAGTAAAAATATCTGCAAATGTTGCATCTTTTTTTTTTTAATTTGAATTTAGATTATGACCATATCTTGAGGGAAAGAATTTTTTTGGGGGAAAAGGGTGGGGTTAATAGGCAACAGCATAGTGTATTGCACAAAAGCAAAAAAAAAAGGGGGGTAATTTTTTTATTTTTTTTGTGTGAGGGGAGGGGGGTCTATTCGCAACAGCAAAGTGTATTGCACATAGGCAAAATATAAATTCAAATCATATAACCAATTCTAAGTTCTTTGACTACAGTTACATTTTTTCTGTGTCAGAAACCATTTATGTGTCAAATATTTAATTACAATCCAAATTCAGATCTGTATCAAGCGCGAATATTGCGTCCATTTTTGCCCTAACTGTTCAGGGTTGGACCTCTGCGGTCGTATGCAGCTGCGCTCGGCGAAGCAATTTATTAAAATTGGAGTTATCTTCCTTTGTCCATGATTATAGTTGAATCAACTACAATCAATGCTTTATACAATGCAATGTTTAATTTTGACTTCCACTGATAAAACACAGATCAAGTTGAATTTGGGTAGTGTCATTTTAACCATTATTGAGTTATGTTCCTTTATAAATCGAAAGATTGCAAAATTTTTAGTTTCCATTCTGTAACTTAAGTTTGCCCCAACCAAATATCCTAAAACCTATACACAATATTCATTACCACAAAACTAAGATCAAGTACACTGTTTTTGTTTCCGTTTTCTAACTTTAGTTTGCCTCAACCAAATGTTATGAAACTTATACACAATGCTTATTACTACATAATACAGATTAAGTACGAAATTTGGTGGTGACACTTTTAGTTTGTCTCAACCAAATGTTATAAAACTTATCCACAACCGTTCTAGAGTTGTGCGTGTTTACAAATAGAATAATTGCTGAATTTTTAGTTTCTGTTCTCTACTTAAGTTAGCCTCAACCAAATATGAGACTTACACACAATGCTTTTTACCACAAAACTCAGATCAAGTTCAAATTTGGGTAGCGTCACTTTTACCGTTCTTCAGTTATGTCCCTTTATAACTATATGATATGCAAGCGGGGGCATCATCTGTGTCCACATGTGAACACTATCCACATTTATTTTTGTACCCATTTGAAAATCATTTTTGTAGATGCCGTATGTGTGTTCAATAACGGATCTTGTTGACGTTGTATTTTCTATCAGAATCTATTTCTTGTAAAAGTTTTGGTGTAAACAGCCATGATTTTAAACCATACGCGCTATCGCCAAGGAGCCAGCCATTTTCTCTTATGTTACTTTCAAATGCATCTGAAAGGGAACATGTATTCCATATTTGTGCATCGTGTGTTGATACATGCTATTTTGCTACCTCATTAAGGAATCGATATTCTGCATCACAAACACATTGGATATTCAGGGCATGATAACCATTTCGGCAAACGTAAACACGTTCATCAAACTTTGAGCTTTGATTGGTATTAATGTACAATCAACGGCTCCCAAGACCTGTGGTAATTGTTTTATATTAAAAAAAATCCCTTTTTCACTGACAGCTGATCTTCTTGACCCATTGGGAATTTTCTGAACCGATGGGCATTTTCGGCGAACTATGCTGATAGTTGGTGTAGACACCGTGGAGCAGACATCTTACAAACCCCATGTGCATCGCCAATGACTGACAAATAGCTTCCGGATGATTAATACCTCAGTGCTATCATAACAAAACGGGCATTGGGCCCGATATTCAAGTTGGTATCTTTCAAAAATAGCTTTCCTATCTAGTATTCTGTAATCGCGGATAATCATACGGTCGTCTAGGAAATCCAATGGGTTTGTTCGATCTCTGAAGTTCCTTTTTGATATCCTATGTTTTTCTCTAGAACGCACATGCAAGATAAGATCATTTCAAGCGGCATTTTATCAGTTAAGAGAGAGATAGGGGTGCCCCTGACCACAATTAGAATTTTCTGTTAAGTTTTCAGTATAAAAAAAATGCTGATACACTTAAAATTTGCTAAGAGTAATCAAAGACGGTCGTAAGTTGATTATCGACGTTCGAGATACCCAGTCGATAAGATTAACACTAAGAGAGCGTTCCAAGAAGGATAAAGAGCACTCTTATGGCTGCGAGTGCAACGTGGATTTTAAGGGCTGTCAATCATTCTAAGATTACTTCAAGATACACTCTTCGCAGAT